CAAAATGATTTATTGGGAATGGAAGCGGTAGAACATTCGGATAGTGAACTTTTAGAAAGCAATAATCCAGACGACATTGTTGTTGTTCAGGGATCTCCGAAAATGCATCAGAGATCACACTCTGATGTTTTGCCTATAGCCGTAGAGGATATGCCGGATAAAAAGAAGAAAAAGAAAACCATTTTGTCGCAATTATTACCTTCTCTATCCGTTACTCAACCAATACCAAATCCTTTAGGATCATTGGAGCATCATTTACTTCCTCTTGGGTATGATTGGAGTAATAGAACTACATTTTACAGAACGTATCAAGTTTTAGTTAGTAGTTTACAAGAAGATAAACTGCATACACAATTTATCATGTATAAAGTAGCTATTTGAAAAACCTCATCTCTTAATGTATTATAAAGATACAAATTTATGATATACACAGTTTTTAGTAATAATTTTTCAAGAAAACAATTTTGTAATAGATAATGGACGGTAGAATTTAGTACGGTTTCATGTAATTATTTAGTCCTCAACAATATTTATCTTTTACAGGTCAGTTGTACCTATAGTGGTGTACGAATCAGAACCTTCATCTATAATTGCATATGCGCTTGATTCTCTCGACTATAAACACGCAAAACAAGAACTAATGCGTACTATAAGAGGACCTGATTTAAATCCTAGTCCATTGAATACACGGAAATTTCCGGAAAATAAAGAGAACCTTTCCGATGTTATGCAGTCAGGAGAATTCAAGCGTCCATCCGTTTTGTCATTTTTCCGTGGAAACAGTCCTAATCCTGCAAGCCCTATAGACTCTGATAAAAGTGTCTCAAACATGGATTCTAATCTGCAGAATCCAACAGTGTCATTGGAGACGGAGGAAGACAAGAAAGCGACTAAACAGCAAAATTACATTGAAGTTCAATTTAATGATGCAACAACTAATTTCTACTGTAGGATATACTTTGCCGCACAGTTTGCTGCTTTTAGAGAAAACGTTTTACCGTGCGGTGAAGACGGCTATACGAGAAGTTTAAGCCGAAGCGTACAGTGGGCCGCAAGAGGTGGAAAGAGTGGAAGCAGTTTCTGTAAAAGTCGAGGTATACAATTAATAATGAAGTATGCCCTAAAATTTAAAATAATTTGGTATAAAAATAATTATTTTATTTAATAATATATACAAGATATTTCAATTGTTTTTGAATGATTAGCTTACGAGTAAATCACTTTCTGTACGTTTTTACTGAGCTCATTTGAGTTTATTTTGTTTTACAGATGACAGATTCATCATAAAAGAAATGTCTAGACTAGAAATGCAAATATTTCTTAACTTTGCGCCAAATTATTTTGCTTACATGGAAAAATGCCAACAGACCAAGCAGCCAACGTTGTTAGGGAAGATAGTGGGTGTATACAGAGTATCTTTTAAAAATAATACGACAAATGCAGCACTTCGCACTAGCGTACTAGTAATGGAGAATTTATTTTACAATAGAACTATAACAGACAAATTTGATCTGAAAGGATCAGTTAGAAATCGACTAGTAAATCCCGATGACATGTGTCACGAGGGTGAACTTGTCTTGCTCGATGAGAATTTATTGAACAGTTAGTATTTCATTTATATTTTATATATCAAAGTATTTTAGTTATAAATAAAATATATTTTTAGTGAGCTGTGACTCGCCCCTCTATATCAGATCACATTCCAAGGCGGTTTTAAATAGAGCCATTGAACAAGACACAAAGTTCCTGGCTGATAATTCTGTGATGGACTATTCATTGTTAGTTGGTTTGGAGCCAAATTCGGATGAGCTCGTGTTAGGTATAATAGGTGAGTTTCATGATCGTCTTCCTTCTGAATCCCT